TGAGAAGTGGGTGTTGGACTTTATGCTCCTAGTGGATCCCTTCCATTTTGAGATATTCTGTAGTATCCTGGATGTCTCATACAGCACACCACATTCCTGGGACTGGTGTGTTTAGCAGCAAGTAAAAACTTTCTCACTGCATCAAGTGTCCATTGCCTTTTAGATGTCAACCTGAAACCACCCTCATGGTCAGACTCACTGCTTCTCACTGCTTCAATAGAGGGGAGCCAGAAGGTCAGGGTCAGACATGCACAGGGCTTCACCTGCCCAGGCTCATTAGCACAGCCATGTTAATTGGAAAGCCAGCAGATATGCCTGCAGGTGTACACGGGACAGCTAGGCAAACGGGGGACAAGGCAGATTCATGGCTACTCAAGACTGTTCTTGGGGTTAAAGCACAGAAGCAAGCTCTGCCAAGCATAAAAGAGAGCCTGTGTGTGTTTGAGGAAGGGAACAGAATCAGTGAGAACATTCAGGAACTATTGGGAGCACCCGAGCAAATCTTGGACTGCTAAGATCTGCACTACGTAAATAACAGTGAAGCAACTGTTAACTGTGCCCACTAACTCATGGAATTGTAGCTCTCCTGCAACACAAGAATTAGATTTGAGCCTGAATGGTAGCCCCAGGCCAGCCACTCAAAGGAAAAGCTCAGGAGGCTAATTTAGTTCCAAATCCAGGCTCAGCTCCACTTTCAAGATGGTATTTGATTTATGTAAAGAAAAAACACAACTGCAGAGCACACACAGGGAAATATGGCAAGCCTACATCCTTGCAGAGCAAATTAATCTCAAATTTCATCTCACTATTTCTCCAAAGTACAAATTCCACATCTCTGGGACCCTCCAGCATCAGCACTGTGGCGCTTGTGGTGTACATACACACACAGGTTTCTCCCACTCCTTCCCTGACTCTTTTATGCCTTTCACTCCCCATAACCAAAAGTTGTTACATCTCCCTTTCTTTCCCACCTTGCCCTATCCTAGCAATCAAAGGTGTCCACTGCAAGTGGGTAAAAGCAGGTCCTGCACCTAAATTTCTGCCCCTACTAGGGGTATTGGCCCCAAAAGAATATACATTAGATACATGTCAGGCAAGCAGCAGCAGTCTGGGACAGAGCTGAGCCCCTCTGCCAAAATGATGGTGCCTCAAGGAAACCATATTTAAGAGTGCAGCAGTGAGGAAACATTGTGAGAAACATCCCTGTCAACACCTAGGTCTGAGGGAAACTAAGGTGCTCCAGGTGCTGGAGCAGGCTCCCATGCAGCCCATGGAGATCCCTGCAGTCTGTGGAGGACCCTGTGCTAGAACAAGTGCCTTGAAGGAAGCTGCTTTCCAGAGCACCCACACTGGGAGAGGCTCCTGGAAGGAACTGTGACCCAGAGGGAAAGCACATTCAAGCAGGTTTATCCTTGAAGGACTGCAGGCCCTGGAGCAGGAAAAAGCATGAGGAAGGAGAAAGAGGAACTGCTATGGACAGACTGCAACCCCTCTTCCCCACACCCCTGTGCTGCTTGGTTTGGGGAGAGGGGAAGATAGGGGCATCAGAAAGGAAGGAGTGAAGTTCAGCCTGGGAAGAAACAACAGGGGAGGGGAAAGGTGGCACAGTTTTTTCTCTTTGTTCCTCATCATCCAACTCTATTTTTAAATGGCAATTTTATTTTTTCCCCCCAGTGCCTGTTTTGCCCATTAGCTTTTCCACAAGCTTTTCCATGTTATTCCTTTCCCCATTTCCTGCTAAGGCAGAGGATGCTGTAAGACAGCAGCTGGGTAGGATCTGGCAGCCAGTCAAGGTCAACCCACCACAGTAACAAACACCCAAAAAGAAATTCCCAAAAACACCTAAGGTGAAAAGTAAATGAATATTTCAAATTGTGGGAAATACCTGTCTTTACAGTGACAAACCAAGAGAAAAGCTGGAAAACATGAGATTTCTTCTGACAAAAGTTGCAAATATCTACATTTTAAGTTCTCTGCTCTTTTAAATATACCTCCTTGCTAGACTAAGATAAACATATTGTTTCTCAAATCTCAGGTGCTCAGTTATTAATGGCTTCAAATGCCTTGTTCAAAGACTGAAACCATCTTTCAAACAAACTATTCTGTCCACTGTCCTTTGCATTTCCATCATCGTGCACAAACCAATAACCTGGTTATGTGCCTACCACAGTCATCCCCCTCTCCTATTTCAGGTAGCACCAAATAAAGTCTTGATGATACACTTACCACAAATTTCAGGTCTATTCAGCTAAATCATGCATGTAGACAAGTATTTTACCTTATTTGTGCAGCAAATTGATTTTCTAGTGTTTTCTGTTTTCTTCCCTTTTGTTATATTCTGCCTTTGATCTCCTATCTTATGTTACCTTAGCAGTTCAGGGTTGCCAAAATTCCTCAGTGCAAGAAAGTCAAGAACCTACTTCTGACTTCCTTAAGCAACCCTCATTTGGTTTGTTTTCCAGGTGTCGATTTGCTATCGTAAAAAAACATGAAGAAGCCCTTCCAATACAGTATGCCAACTATGAAATACAAGAGGTCTTTTTCCATGAAGGAAAAAAAGAAATGTAAAGCCCTTCTTCTTCATCTCATAGCCCACACATTAAGATGAAATGTAACACTTCATAGGGTAAGGGAAAAAATCATGGTTTAATTACAACAATGTAGCATAAACACTTCAGTAGTGATACCAGGATATTATTGTGATGTCTAAACTTGAGTTCTCCACAGACACTGTAAACAGACACTCTAAATTCCCTAAATGATTGGCATTAAGAAAGTTTACACAAAGGCAGTCAGTTGTTTAAGATACCATGACATGGTGAGACAAACACGCATACATCAGTAAGTACAGGGAAATGTTATGCTACATTTTGGACAGTTCAGAACTGAAAGTGCTTCACATCTATAGGATAAGAAATGGCTTCATCTCCTCATCCCTAAATGATGAGAGCAAAGAAATAACCCTTTATAAGGTTAAATAAACAGTGCCCCATTTATCCATGCTTATATAAAGTTTCCAACAATTCAGAAGGTCCATGGTGAAATTTACAATCTATATACAGTATAACAAATTGTCACAGAAAAAAGTTCAGATACTCCTTGGTTCTCAAAAGCCTGAAGCTCACTCTCTGCACTAAAGACAAAGCTACTTACAATATCAGATGGGGTCTTTTCCTTTTTTTTTGTTTTGTAAAAATTAGTCAGCCCAAATCCACCTTGAATAAAATTAGTCCCCAAGTTCTTGGTCATATTTAACAACTGCTTAACCCCAGTGTTTAAGGCATGTTCATTAGATGTCAGGATAGGGGTACTGTCAGAAATTATAATAGTCACAGGTACTAAGAGTCAGCAAATTTACATAGCAATGCCACTCATTACAGTATAATGTACAACAAACTGTTATGATGGAAGTTGTTCCTGAGTTAAAATTTGCTAGGTACTGCTAAGATTCATGTTTTCCTTTTATACTTTTTCCTCTGTCTGGAATGTCCTTTCACATATGCTCAGTTGAAAATTAAAATTCACTCTGCAAATAGCCTGCATGTCAGAATGTAAAAATGTTAGAAAAATTCTAGTTATATTCCTGTTCCTAAATATACATTTAGCCAAGATGTTATGAATTTGCAGGATTTAGTATCACTTAGTTTTTAGCAAGAGTATTTTTTAAACATGAAGATAATTATAAATGTCAGTCCACATTTTTGTGCTACTTCAAACAACAGGAAAATATTTTGGTATTAAGAATTACCATAAATGTAAAGTTCAATGAATATACGTAACTCCAAAATTGTAGACGTTTTCTTATCCAGCCTGCTCCTTTAGAATTAAAGACATTTTATACTATAGGAACACAAATTAAAATACCTACAAATATATTCAGCTTTTAAATCAGACAACTAATTGCTATTTAGAATCATCAGGATCCATTCCCAGAGAATTGTTTCTTAAGTACATAATAACTGACATTCTTTCCTATTTTAAAAAAGCTGTTCTTGGCTGAGAAAAGTGGATAGTTTTAAAAATACAATTTTTATTAGATTCAAAATGTAAATAACAATTCCTACCACTCTAATCATCCTGGCTCCAATTCTTTAAAGTTCATATAAACATTTGCTCAAGTCTGAGCATTAGATTTAACAGGAGCTTAGGGTGCTGGAAAATCAAGATGACAAAAGGTGCGACTCAGGTCTGTGCTATGCCTGCACTTCTGACTGTCAGCTGAAGAAAAAACCCCTCAGAAAATTGCACCCTCTGGAGTTTGCTCCAAAATTTGCTGAAACCAATTAAACATTTACAAATGAGCTTTAATGCAATCAGTATTTTAAGTGCTCCAACTGAAGCTCACTGCAGCGATGTCACATCTCCTATTTTAAATACAAGAAAGGATTGTAGTAATTGCACCTCTCAGAGTAGGAATAAATGTTCATTAATGTATTTTCAAATGTCAGCAGTGCAAATTGTGAATTACAGTATGATTAAAAACATCTTAGTTCCAGATTTTCCATTTAAATCCTAGTAGGACAGAAACCAGCAACACACTGAGAAAACAGGGTGGGAAAGGAACTACTCTGCTCCAACAGTCTAGGAAGTCCAAACAGAATCTTACATAGTGGTATAAAAACAAAGCTCTAAATGAAGTCTGGACTAGTCTACGTGTCCTATGCACAAAGGTTAGCTAGAATTTAATTGTTGTGACCATAAAATATAAATAGCAACAATTCATTCACAAAATTCTGGATTAGATTGATGTGGGGTTTTTTTTGCTTTAACTGTATGATCCCTTAAATTATCAGCTGGCTGTATGTTTAAGCACAACAACAGAAAATGTAGTACATAAACACCTAAAAAACACAGTCATGAAAAGCAGGCAAGTACATCAGTCTTTTGGTGGCCAAAGCACAACAGATTAGTCTGCCAAACAAGTGTACGTGAATGTAAATCATGGGCATTAGTTTTGTTAAAAACTGTTTCTACTGTCAATAAACAGCTGTTTTAATACTGTTCTTAAAGAATTGTAAACTGTTTAAAAATGTATGCACAGACATAAATAACAGTAGAGGATTTAAATACAGTGGTCTACAGGAAAAATAGGTTTTAAATCAGCATGTGTGATGAGTGGGTAATTTGGAACGAATCCATAATTATCCACAAAGAACCCCAATCTTTCCTAGGTAAGACAGTACTGCCATAATTTCTAACACTTGTGACCATTTATAACAACAAGAGAGAAAAAAAACCCATATGAGCCCTGATACATCAATCACATTTGCATTCAAAATTACAGATATTTACAAGAAAAATATATATTTAATTAAAAAGCCACTGAAAAACATGGTCTTTTAGTCAGGTGCTGCACTTTCTGCAAAATGAGGTAATTTAGATGCAAACAAATTAAGTTTAGTAGAGTTCAGAATCCACAGTCTCCACACTTAAAGAGTACAGATTGCTTCAGGAAATGGCTTGACTGCTTCTCTATGTTCAAAGCAAGGAATCACTAGATCCAGTTAAATCCTGTTTTGTAGTGCTCTTGATGCAACACTGACTAATGTCAGAAGGCTTCCCAGCTCAGTTTACAACTGGTCTTTCAATAGAAAGAAAAAGGGAAAAAAAATTAGTTATAAGTTGGTTTCATCCCAAGATGGATCATTCATGTTCTTTAGAACTTTTCTAACAAGCTTCTCCAAGTCCTTGCGAGCTCTTTGTTCTTCTTCTAGTGATTTCTTCATCTTTTTGTTATCCTGTTCAGAGATAGAAATATTAGTGGGTTTTGGGTTGGTTTTGGTTTTTTTTTCTTGCAGCTCTTTTCTGACCACACATACATTGTATATTACAAATTCTGAAGGCTCTTCTCAGTTAGACTGCTATTAGCTGTTCAAAAGCAAAACCCTCTATTAAAATTTCCCAAGTTCACACAATGCAACAAAACCCACCAAATGGAAACTAAGCTATTTGTTTCCTTTTTATACTTAGAGGTCCTTTATAATGCAAGTGCTAGTAACAGATGGCCAATAAGCTTGAGTTCTTCTGCTCAAATCTGATCAATGAAGAGTAGAATATATTTGTTGTTAATGGAGATGGGAAACGGAGCAGTAAGTAGAATAAATACCCCCCTCTAGGAGCCTCCTGTGATTACAACTGGTTTCACAACCTCAGAAAAGCTTCTTAAAACATAATGCAAATGAACTTGCTTCATTAGGAAAGTAAATAGTTGAAAGGAGTATCTTGAAAACCATTATGTTCTCTGGTAAGTGTTTGGTGACTAGATTTTAAACCATTTTTAAATTACTACCAACAGTCTAAGAGGAGTCTTAATTTCAGGGAACACCACCACTCGGCATGCATATTAACGAGTGAGTCAGTTCTCAACATGAAGCGCCATCAGGTAATACTGAAATACCATCAACGACAGGACCATAAGGATGTCACTGACCAAACCACAGTAATGCTTACATTGTTTAATCCTGTACAGGCCAAGGTGACGCTGGCAACAGTGGGGAAGCAACCAGAAGATAAGACAACATTATAAGAAGGCCCCAAGACAACAAGTCGACAGGTGTTTAACAAACAGGATGGGATCAACAGCTGCTGCCTCCCTAACTCCATTCCCTCAACTTTGTTGAGACACTCAGGAATTTCATTCTTCTCCTGCAGGTATACATTTATTTTCCATTACTAACTGCCAGTTCAGGACTATTCAAGTTCAGTGCCTGTGGAGCAACAGCTACAAATAACCTATAGAAGCTGCTGCAAGAGAGACCCCATGTCATGTGGTAACTCTCCGACTGGCAGTTTGGGGTCTCCAACAACTGATGCGCTATGTACTCCCAAATCCATTCAGTCCTTGGTTACCTGGGACCTCCCCAGCTTTTGTATCTGATTGGCAGATTGTATCTGCCACTTTTCCAGTTGGCAACATCACAGCTTCCAAGGCAGCTTTAATAGATCTTGGCTTTGGAAGATGGAAGATTCTGATGAGACTGTCTTGTTTGTAAAGGCAACATAAAAGAGAGCTACTGCTTGAAGTTCAGAAGGTGACATTTTGTTTAGGGTCACAGAGATCTCTCAGGCCTCAATGAAGCAGCACATTTATCCTTTGTACAGAAGCAACCCGCCATGGGAATATTAGTGGGTTATCATGGCTGCTTGTACTAAGTGAATTGTATTTTTAAAGACTGCCAAATTCACATCAAACCTCGGGTACGCATTTGGGATGTCAAAAAACCAAAAAAGTTAAATACTAAAGATGCCAACTGTCCTATGTCAAGGAACATGAACACATCCTTAGAAACACTGGGCATGCTTACAGATAAGCAAATAATTTGGACTCATTTTTACAGCTCCAAACCTATAGCAATTTGACTGCAAATCCATTTTATATAAACACAGGAGATTTTATCTGACTTCTTGAGTCATAGATCTGTTAAGGTCAGTCAGCAAACTCAGCCATTGGAGAGTGAGGATAATTCAATGCTCTTTTGCCTACACATCAAACAATGACTGCTTGCAGCAGCATTAACTCAGGTTAAACAGTCTGGGTTCTGACAAGAAAAAGGTATTTTTAAACACCTGATTTTGGATATTTAAAACAAGCTTAAAATATCAGCTGCGATTTCCATACCAGCACCTCAGGTGAGATCTTGCACAACTCTCTTATGTGAGAAAGAAGCACCCTAAGCTAACCTAAAGCTCCCACTGAAAAAAGATCATGTCACAGATACTGAAAAAGAACCTTGTCTACCAAAATGAGAGGTTTTAAGAACTGATTTGTAAGAGGTGTTCAGGTTACTGAAAGACTGCTAATCAAGGCCTCAATATATCCAGACATTTCTACTACTAAAATTATACATACCAAGAACATATATGATTGATTTCAAGGTCTCTGTAAGCTTATTCTGTTGGTGATACAGCAGAACTGAGTTTGCTTAACACTTTCAGCATTTCACAAGTCATAACATCCAAAACTAAATAAAACACAGCTTAGTAAGTCAACTCAGTGAGAGGATACTTAACACCCTTCTCAAAGACTAGTGCTCTAAGGACAGATGACATCCACAAGAGTGCGCTTTTTTGTTAAATGGGTATGTTTTACTTTTAAAAGTTAATCTAGTCTAAAATTCTAATTAATTTCAGTTGGAGTCAATCAACTTACAAGCTGTATTTATTTTTATAGCCAGCGTTCCATCTTTCCATTCTCCCTGCTAATATAAATGTAGGAAGTTACCAACCTGTCTTAACTCCTGTACTTCATCCTTTAATGCATATACTGTGTCAACAAGGCTTCTAAAATGGAAAAAAAGAAATTCTGTTACAACCATTTTCAGAAATAGATGTCTAAACCTATTATTAGACAAGCCTGTTCAATGAAATGCATTAAAAAACCCCAAACCCGCAGCTAACAGCCAATTTCAAATTTATGTTTAAACATTGTCTCTTATCCTGACTTATATTCAGTAGGGCAAAGGCATGTTATCAGCTTCTGTGACAGGATACACTTCTGAAGCACGTATGGACCTGTACTGTTTTCTATACTGCAGCTTTCTGTAACAGACCTGTACTTCATTTCCAAGACACACCTTCCCAAAAAAACAGAATGACATCACACACTAACTAGAAAGATCACACCAAGTTAATATCTAAATCCTGTGGCACTTGGAAAAAACTATTTATGAGTGAAACATATCACTCTTGGCATGGAAGGTAGAGGTTGCACAGTGTATACAAAGAAACTAGACTACAAGCACAGGACTGGCAGCATACCCTACACAGCTCAGTTCCCTACTACAGATACACCAGTTACACACTACTATAATAGGAGGAGAAAAGAGTGCAGTTTACTAGCTTAATCCATCATTCATTAAATGTTCTTACTTCTCTTCTATAACAGTCTGACCATTACTTTTAGTTTCTTCTACAATAATTTTTTCCTCTTCTGGAAGCAGGACTTGAGGAGCTGATTCTTTACGGGAACCTGTTGTGAAAATAAATTTAAAAATGAGCATCTCACAAATATTGCTGGGGCATTTCAAAGATTACTATTTCATTCACTGCATGATACGCCTGCATGACCCAGGTACATCACCTTCCATTTCCCCCACCCCCCCTTCCCAAGTTTTTTGACACGTTTTTTACATTTGAAACCACAGCCTTACAACAAACAACTGGCTGACAATTCCTATCCTGCTGCTGAGGTAACTCCTTGTGTCAACGATGGGGATGCTACAAACTGTTCCATGAACAGTGTACCACTCAACTCTCAGCAAAAGCTACATTAATTCACCACAGCTGACTCAAAAAAAGACAGATGTGTTTAAGTAACAGCAATATTAAGCCTCAAGGACAGATTCTGATCCCATACTAACACAAATCCATGAAATAATTCAATTCTAAATCAATTACTCTTATCAGTAAGGAGCAGAATACTGGTATCAAACAACACAGGGATGGAAGAAAAAAGTTAAAATCCTTTTCCCCTGAAACACTATAAACAACACAATTGTGTCCCTGTGCACACACACGTATTCACACACATATAGCTTTTCAGTCTTATTAATTCCTACCAAATTAAATACATCCTCTGTATTTCATAAATGTTTTTAAAAGCACTTTATGGTTTGACAATAAAAACTCAAAACATTCCAACATATTCAAAACATTTTCCACAATCATTACAATTTATAACAGCAAGATAATACATATAGATTCTAAAAAGGTAGCTCTGAATAGAAAAATCTACAGCTCAAAGATGTGTATACATTTATACATAAAGTAAGTATTCTAGAAATGCTAATTAGGCTGCAATAAATTACAAGTTTGTGTTTGGTTTTTTTAAAGAAGAAGGTCTATAAAATAAATTGCTGCCTATGCATTTGTTCAGAATTCAAACACAGCAGATAAGGCATTAAAGTTCTTGCATATTTTAACCAAGATACCAGTTTCAACAAACAAGGTACACTTGCCTACCAATTCACTGTAATGAACTTTCATTAACAAATGTCTTAAGTCTAGTACAGTTTGAGCTATTAAGTAGGTAGCACAGGGTGCAAGCCTGTTGAGAGAAATTAGTTAGCCCTGCTGAA